TCCCCAACGCAAAAATACATCTTGATAAAAATGAAGTCGCTATTCTTACAGTTTCTCGCTGACTTTTACAGTTGGGTTGGATTGTCTCAACAATCCAACCCATTGCTACATCCAGCATACACATTCGTTCATACCCAAATCGACTCGGTGATAAAGCCATGAATAGCTATTGCTGGAGTCTCTGACCCACACCACAAAATAAAATATGCTATTTTAATCTTCTTTTTTTACATCCAAAACTTGTCATGAATATTATAAATTCGTACAAGGATTATTATCTCGGGACAGTACGCTCTGTTAAACAACTGATGACATTCAGACTAGCACGGACCTCCATACACAATTCAATTACCTTGCTTGATTCGAGACTGTCGCCATGCCAACGTGAGGCAAGTACTAAACGCAGGAACCCACTTACATCTGCGCGATTAAACGTGCTTGTTTCTGTTGTCCTTGTTCAAAGCTTGGAGTGTGGATTCCAGTCTCCACGTTCGAAGTTACAAATTATATACAATTGTTATATGCTTGTATTTGTTGAGGGGCTTGCCAAGTTAATGAGATTAAGACAAGACGCTTATCAAAACGTTATGGTCGCAAAAATAGCATCGTTCTCTGGACGGTCTGAAGTTTTGAAACAGACATTTTCTGCGATTGCCACTATCACGGTGGTGGCATCAGTATGTGAAACCATTGCGTCAACTTCGTCCCATGGACAGCATGGCGAGGCGATGTACTTGGCCCTCCCCCACCGCGCACTAGTCGGTCACGCCATCAGAAACTTATCGGGGGTATCGCTGGTCCGGTGCTCGGCACTGTGCATGAGGGAAAACGACGTCCAGTGCCGGTCCTTCAACTACGAGGAGACCGGCAAGATCTGCCAGTTAAATGACGCCAGGGTCGAAGAGTTCTCTGGGAGTTTGGAGCAAAATAGTGCCTTTTCGTACTACCACAGCGTGCAAGTTGAGCAGGTGAGTCATTAGCTCGTCGCAACTATTATGTGCTGTTACAGTAGAAGAACTTCTGTGAATTTGGTAAACGTACCCCTGTGGTGTAAGATTAAGTCGTAGAAGCTGTTGCAAAATAGTAATATGTACAATTAACTGTCCTCTTCATGTAGTGTGGTGTCCTGAGCCCCCCCTGTCAAATTTCCGTTTTTGGACAAGTTAGGATTTTAGCGTCTACCTCCTCTCCCCAACGCTGTTACGTTACCTTCCTTATGATCTTTGTACGTATTTACTTTTTACTACAAATATTTGGGTCTGAATACTGAAGTTTTGTTATCTGTTTATGTTTACAATTTATTGAGTTTATCCTCTTTCAGTTTTTCAATGGCAAATCATACAATCACATCTACCTTTTCTTTAGTCCATCCTGCAATTCATCCATGCTTGGTTGATTCCCCATTTGCTTGTTTGTCCTGTCTACTTGTCATTTTGCCTTTGAGAAGGTTTCTGCTAGGATTGAATTTTAGGTCATTGTTGTCGGCAAGCAGTTTACAGCAGTTTTGTGTTACATATCACATCTAATCCGGTCTCTTGATACCCCTTTTAGTTGAATGTTAGGGGAATATGTCGGAGTGTAGAGGAACACGATCAAAGATTGTAAGTTTTCACGGTTAATTTAGCAGCTTCTTTCATTTAAAATTGCTCAAACGAAAGTTTAATTTTGTCAAAGAGGGGTCACTCACCCTAAATGTTGATTCCAATTTCGAAATAACACCATTAGATTCACTTTCAGAACATCGTAATTCACGAAATAAAACCCACTTATTCAACATCCTATTTATCCTATTTTCGTCTCACTCCAGGAATGGCGTTGAATCGGAAGAGCAAATTCGCTTTTTGTCATTAATTTTACTGATTTAATTAATCATTCAATTTCGTTAATGATATAAATTTGTATACAAAGCATTGGGAGAGAAAGTCAAATAACAGTGAGTTATGTAATTATTATGCCTGATTTCTTCGGCCTATTCTTTCTTAGTCAATTTTGAATCACAACAAAAATGACAGCCAACTAACCGCTAATTCAAACTATCTTAAAAATACATTCTATGACGAGATTGAACGATTAAATCGGTAAAATGGATGAAAAAAAACGAATCTGGTTTTCCGATTCAACGCCACTCCAAGAGTCAGACGAAAATGACGATAAACAGGACGAATAAGTGTGTGCTTTTCGTGATTTACAATGCTCTGATAGTGAATTCTAGTTGTGTTATTTCGAAATTGGAAATTCAGTCAACATTAATTAAAGAGTGAGTGACCCCTCTTTGACGAAATTAAAACCAAACTTTCGTTTTCGTTTAAGCAGTTTTAATAAAAGAAGTGCTAAATTAACCGGGAAAACCTATATTTTGCACAAATGGAAAAACATATGAAGTCCAGCCGAAAAGCGAGAAAACTCCAATTTCCATGGTTGCCTAATTAATGAAAGAGCCGTGATTTTTTTTGTCAGGCAACCAGGATGTGCTCAGAAATTGATGCAACACCAGCGAATGGTAAGACGTTTTGCAGTGCTTTGCCATTCCTCGTTTCTCCTCTTGGTCTCTTTTAAATCTTTTATTGCCTTGTGATTTCTTGTCTTTTATTGTGGAACTTTCCAACAGCATGCTCAGCTATTTGTTTTCAAATCTCAGCAATCAAATAGCCCATCTGCGAATCTTACCGAGGAACCTAGTCTTCAGCTTTCCTCAACAATTTGTGAAAACAGTTGACACACCGAATGAAACGTTCATTTCAAAACAGTTTTGAAGTTTTGATACTCTATCTGGCAATTAAAGGTGTCATACTCAAATCTGTAAAAATCGCAATCACAATGTTCCTCAGCATGGCCGAATCGAAGCAATTGTCATTCCCTAGGCTGTAATGTAGGCCAATTTGATTTCAAGTTTCAGATTAGTGTTCAGGCATCATAAATTCAGGTTAGGGATACACATCCTCATTGAAGTTATGTCAGAGATCAACAAATCCGAATTCCAACAAATGGAGAAACTCTTTTGAATTGACGGGGGCATTATCGACAACTTTGTTCGGCAAATTTTAATTTTAGAAAGAAAGAAAGGAAAGAAACTAAGTAAAGGAATATCATGTTAGGTCACGTCGTGTCCGACTGTAAGAATAGGCCAGCAATTTGCCGATTATTTTTGCTTTAAATTAATCGTTTCTCGCTTGTCTGCCAATTTTCATTCACATATAACGGAAAGAAAGCTGTCTGTCTTCAACAATTTCTTCTTTAAAATTCATCAAAGTATCTTTAATTCCACTCTCAATCTTTCGGGCTGTTTTGGGGTTTCTTTTCCCTACTCTGTCATTCGAAGTCGTTTCCGTGCACCTAGTTTGTTAGCTTTGCTGTTAGTTTCGTTTTCGTTACTCCACTTCGTTTATGGGCATTCAAGATTACACTGTCACCATTCTTGAGTGCTTTTTTCAAACAGATGCAGTCAACTTAAAAGTCATCCAGGATCTTTAACCTGTGTGTGATTTTCTTTTTCGTTTAAAGTCTATCTATTTCGCGTTCTAAATGTTCGATTTAGGAGCATTGGAGAAGTTTACGCCTTTAATGATGATATTCTTGTTCCATAATCATTGTTTTGATGATTGGGAATGATTCCTTTGTATCCTGCCTTTTTGTTTGTATTTATGCCTATTTCTTGAGTCCAATCAGAAAATATTTCTCTTTGTTGTGTGCACTGATGCCCTGCATTTTGGGTTTCACAGCTGATTATTCGGACCATTTTAAAATACATGTACTAGGCCTATATCGTGTACATATAAAATTGACAAAAGTTCAGGAAAACAAATTCTGGGTTAATTTTCAAACATGAAAAGCAAAACAAATGAAAAGAAGAAATTGTTTACAAGCCATTCTTTTCGTTATTGCCGTGGAAAGCTTTAATCAGCTTTTCCCAACCTACGATGCTGACTTTCCTATAAGAACCCGGCCTCCACAGTTTGTGTACAAAGTCACGTTGACACAAAGCTGTCTCAAGATCCACCGTTAAATCTTGTTTGTTTGAAAATTAGTCTGTATAGATCCCAGAAAGCACTTCTCACTGGAACGAATTTCAATTCCCACAATTGAAACGAGATCACGTATTGACTAATGTGAATGCCTAATCAATCTCTTCCAACCCTTAGACGAATGTAAACGAACAAAATTGCTTCTGGAATCTGAATGAACTTATTTCCAGAAAATAATACTCATACGAAATTGAATACCTGATTTTAATTTCGAGTGCTCGTGAAAAAAATCGTTCTTTAAAAAATGAATTTAAATGGATCTTAAATTGGACGACTTTTGCTGAAATTGGCCAGGAAAACCTATAATGCTGAATGCTGAAATAAGAAGTTTATTATAAAGACAGCATGACAGACTTTGATTTTCCGGTAGACAAATAACAAGCAATACTAAATGGTCAAATTGTGAGGGAAAGGCGCGTCATTAACAAAACTATCTTTTGCCTTTACAAGTAAATTCATGCTTATGCGCCACAGCTCCTGAATGGCGACTGGTGTTTAAAGGTGTAGCGGGGACCGGATTGAAGTTGTACGACATGTGGACTACCGCAGCTTGGGACGCAAGCGCGATGGGAGGCAGTGGGAGTTGTCGGAATGAGTTGTTGCATAGTGCCTGGAAGAACAGCGAACTGGTCGTACGGCGCGTGAGTACACTCTTCTTCAGTCTGGTTGATGTTTGGACTTCGGCCTGGCCTGGGCCAAGTCTTAGCTGGTCTGCTATTCTCCATTTGGCTCCGTTCACCTTGACAACTGGCACACTTTCTGTATAGAGTCTGTTTTGAAAAAAGTGAAGGGTGATGGACAAACCAATTTTTATCAACTTTGATTTTTCACATAGTGTTCTTGTGACCTTTAACCTTCGATCCTCAAAGGGGAAAACGGAAAAGAGCTTTACGGAAACAGCTATATTAAAGAATTTCGATAAATAAAAAATAAAATGTCAAATAACGGTGGTCTGATGATGAATTTTCTGCATGCAAGCAATACCACTTGTTAATCCAAATTCCTCCACTAGTGTGCCAATAATTATAGCGCACACTGTTTGATTAACTCAAGAGGGATCTAACGTATATGCGACAACAAGCGTTGTGCGCAAACGCAATAGGCACTGAAGTGTACAAACCTAAATCTAGGCACTGGCCCTACGGCTGTTGTGTGCATGGCAGCAGCCGCCGGCATCTCTTGATATGTTTCCGTTCAAGTGCACTTGTGGAAGAAGTTCATGATGGCTGTCTGCTTTCCATCTGGTACCGGTACTGGGGAACGAAAGATTGTAACCCATAATACGCCTGTCATTACGCGCTCTACAGGTAAAGCTGATCGCGTGTAATACGTTTTTCTAATTTTGTGTTTCTCGACAAGGTAAAACTCTCCCTGTACGATTCCAGTGGATGCAGAGCCGAGTTGGTTTTCAATGGAATTGGATCTGATATCCTTAACTGGTTCAGTAAGGAACGTCTTATCACCAGCCCATGGACGGACCTGAAATCAACCAAAACTAATTACTTCAGCATTAGAGGACAGACCAAAGAGTAAGTACTGGACACGTTGTTCAGAGGGAAAATGTCTGTATTGGGTGAGTTTTGAACCTCGGCATGCTTTTTGGTCATGAATAAATGGCAGCGATTGGCGAAGAAGGAGGAAACAAAAGATCCAAAGAAGTGCCTTTGAATGTCACAGTTCACTTTAATAGCTTGTGTTTTAAGACTAGATGACTAAAGTGTCAGAAATGATTGACTTATAGGAACTTGAGATGACTCGTGACAACTTGAGTACAAGTCGCTCACAAGTCCCATGAATATCTTCAATAGGGAGGGCAGCGCTCCCGTGTGGAACTCATTGTGGGGAAATAAGCTATCAGAACGAGTTCGTTCACCTGACTAAACTCGAAAACAATCGACTATGCATATACGAAGATGACTGTTTCCCCCTTTCCTACCAAAAACCTGCACCAAAGAGACCGGCGGTTCTTCATCAACCATAAATTCGGAGCATGCGGAGGCGACAGCGGTTGGCTTGCCGTAACTGAATCCAATCGCCCCGTTGATTGTGAATGGGAGCGAGCAACCGAAGATCTTCCCTACTCAATCATATCGTATAGCCGAAAAGATAGTAGAGTGGACTGGCCAGTGCTAACTGAGGGTAAGCGCAACGTGCTCAATTCCTTTTATAGGAAGCTTACAAACTCCACTTGTATACCGCAAGTCCTCTGAAATGAAGGTTATTTCGTGTTTCATTTTCATGCACATTCCGAAGCACCTTTTGGCCGTGCCCCGACAGCTTTGTTGTATGAAAGTGTATTGGTCCGGTGGCAGTGTTTGTATGAACGAGGTACCTAATGAAAGCAGTGCTTACCCTCTGTATAGTCGGTACTATATCATCATCATTTTAGCCCACTCGACCAATCAGAGGACAACATTTGTCCTCATCAGCAGAATTCGTGAGACAAGCTTCAGGTGAGTGTCAAGATCCAGTCGATCCAAACCCATTTATGCACGAGGGGTGTTAACTCTTTCAATGAATTCAAAGCAGAGTTGTAGACTCGAGCCATTTGACTTGAACTCAAGTTACTATTTTTGTGACTCGTGACTTGACCCGTAACTCAGTTTTTGACTTGACTTGAACTTGCAAAAAATGACTTGTGACTTGACTTGGCCTTGCATGTTATGACTTGTTATCAACACAAGTCAGAAAACTACTCCATTGAACCCGTTTAAGTTTTAAATTAGGCCTAGCGGTGTTAATACAATCAGCGTAATAAGACTTGGCTCGCGACTTTACTTCGGTCTTGTCTGCCCAAGGCCACGTCTGAATCACTTGGCTGCGGCTTGAAATCACACATTGCGCAACCGTACTCAGACAAAAGACTTGAGACTTGCTTGCATTTGGACCAAATTGACTTGTGACTTGTCTTGACCTGTGATCAAGTGCAGGCCGGTTGCCTGACCAGAGACGGGGGGGGTTCGTCAAACCCAAAAGTGGAACCTTTGGCACTGTGAACAATTTATACAAAGGACTATTTTAATGTGCTTTGAAACACAACATTAACAAGTTCCATGTTTGTCGCGAACCGAAGGATGAATGTAAGACTGGTATAGGCCCCCTACTTCAGTTTTTAAGTTCACAGCGTATCGTAAATTGGCCTGGTATTTTAATTTGCTCTTCACCCCGCACGTTGAATCGGGCCCTGGGTGACGAGCGAATGATATGAACATTATTAAAGAACCTCAGAAAATCCCACACAAAAGTTCAGAAGTTCAAAAAGTGACAAATTGTCATAAATCATTGTTACCTCCACTCACTTAACTAAAAATTGTTTTAAAAAATGGGGGGCGCATTTCATTTGGCACTTCAGGTAAAAATCGGAAAATTGGACCAAAATAAAATATCGTCGGAACTTTGTAGCGGGTATGTGAAATCGACATTTATGAATCAGAATATTTGGAGTTTGATTAAATTTCACCTTTTGTGAAATTGGAGGTAAAATATTGCTCCATACACAAACGTTAACAACAAAAATTCGAAGTGCCCATAGAGTCCGTGTCACTTTCGAGTACGCATTCTTCAATTGTAACGCGAAGCAGCGCGCGAACGAGTGTTTTCATTAAACCTAAGCTTTCTCAAGTCCTCGAAATTACCAATTTTAGTGGGCTGGATTAGTGTCCTTGTCGGGTAGGCCGTGCAGCAGTTCTTTTTTAAACAGTGACCAAAAGACCGGTAAAATGATAATCAACATGGATTACACATCAATAAAAGACAAAACGAACAGACGTACCATACAATTTGTGAGGTGTGAACGGTACTTACAGGGCATTTACAAGTCTATTCAGTCTTTCTGGACTGGTTTCCTTCATTTCCAACACGTGTGTCCAAATGTTAACAGCAACCAATGAAAACATTACTGCCTTGTCCCCTCGCCATCGCCAGGAACGCTGCGCCGCTGGTAGGCCCTATGCGTGGCTGGCCGGCTGCGGCGGCGGCCCGGGTTAGGCCGCGTTAGGCACGGCGTGGCGTTTAGTGATGACTGACTTCATTCTTTAAATGTTGCCGTATAAAGCCGCCCGGAGTTCAGCATAAACTGCAGAGCTATTTCCAGCGTGAGAAACAATGTATAAACCGCGGCTTATATTCCGAAAATTACGGTAGGCCCTATATTAAAATCATATATTTATTGAGAGAGAGA